CCGCAGAACACAACCATGAGCTACGAGGAGGTGAGGAGGACCACGTTTAAGCTACACACCGACATGAAGGCCGCCACACCTGTACACCCGCGCCTCCGTGTCTCCTTCAGGTCTGGCGGAAGTGTTTAATGATGTTGGGATGGTCCTCATGGTTACTGAGTGATGTTAAAATGATGCTATGAATCTTTAAATGGTTAATTTTACAAGATGTGTGATATATGTGATGTTACATTTCTCTTTGAGATGTTCCAATGGTTACTAAGAAATGTTTGTTAAAGGTGATGTTTACGCTGTTTATAATCATTATTTAAATAGGTTTTCTTATGTGTTGGGTTTATCCTACTTAACATCTTTTGTGATGCTTAATTCTGTTGAAATTGTGTCACTATTATGTTTTTTACTTCCTGTTTTTTACTGCATGACCTCCACGACTAGCAGCTGTACTGTTAGTACTGCTTCTGCTGCTGTTCTCTACTGTCTACTACTAACTACTTCCTGCAGCTATTCTAAGAATAAGTCATTGCTGTTACTGTCAGCTGTACGAGTGGTAGCTGTTACTGTTAGCTGCTGTCACACTATTCCCTGCCTGACTGTCGCTGACTTATTGAGATTATCTCTCTGTTATTTCTCAAGTTGATACTGTTGTTATCTCTCCTGTAGAAAGCGTTGTTATTGTTATCACCGTTGTTGGTGTTGGTGTCACGTCTACAGCCGTCAATAATTGGGTCACAGTTTCAGGATGTTCACGGAAGTAACGCCGTCCAAGGTTCAGGATACCAAGGAACTGAGACAACTAAGTCGGTGGGCCAGGGGGGAGGACCCCCTCCCTCACATCCTTATAATAGGTAAGACAACAACCGCCACAACACTTCCGCTGCAAGCAGTTAGTGGGCGAACCTTCGTCTGCCGTAGACTTTAAAACCATGATATTATAAGGTAAACTCTTTTGTAAGACCTGCAAGCAAGAGGCGGGCGAGCGCTCGTCTGGCGTAGCTTCAGTTGCTGTCTGAATATGCAGGTGTGATAATATTGGCCAAGACTTCTGTTGTAAACATTAAAAATATTTACACACTATGTAGAATCACGATAGATATTTACTGTCTTATGTACTGTACAATAATGTACTGTACATATTTTGTGCGAGAACAATTCTGAGTTCACTCCCGTTTATTAATGTTAAACAAAACCTCATATAATCTAACGCAGTGGTTCTCAACCTTGTTTGCCCCATGCACCCCTTTCACCATATGTCAGAATGTCATTCCCCCTCCTTTCCAAGATTGTCTGCCTCAAAAAGTGCATTCCAAATAATATGCATATAATACTGAAAATCCTATATTTTTTCCATATTAGTACATATACATTTACAATTTTACATGGATTATTTTTATAGTGGAGTTTTACAAATTAAATGCCAATTGAAAATGTTGATGGATTTATAAAACTTGAATAAAAGTAAAATAGTTTTTTTTTATTTATAATGAATTACTTAACAGACCAAACTGAAGCATAATGCAATAAACAAAAAGTTCAATAGAATACCAGGATATTGTAAATTTGTAATTAATTTTATTCAGATGAAGATTACAGTCAATGAGAAACCTGTTTTTTCTTCGCCAATTCTGGGATACTCGGAGGAGTGCTTGAAAGGGCACAACGCAGGTCATTTTCTACCTCTAATCTACTACGTTGCTTCGTTTTAATTTGCAACAGAGTTTAAAAGCCTGACTCACAAAGATATGTCGACACAAACGGAAGCAATGCATGGATAGCTCTTTCTGCCACTTTTGGGTAGGAATCGCACATCAAGGGCCAAAATTCTGTGATTGATTTCTCATCGAACATATCTCTTGCTCCCGAATCAGTTTCCCCCCCCCTGAAAACCTGAATTCCCCCCCTGGGGGGAATTCCCCCCTGGTTGAGAACCCCTGATCTAACGTAATTCACCGATCGCGCCCAAACTTATCGAAACTAAGGTATCTGAAAGTCGACTTAATGCTCTTAATGTTTATGTATATAGTATGTATATAATGAAATGAACCTTTTTTCTGTCGCCTTTGTTCATGCCCATATGAACGACACAGTGCAAGGTTGTGCTGTGCCTGTCCCTCAAACACCAAATACCATTTAGTAGGAGAATATTTAGAAAAGCCAAAATAAATAGTAACAAGGTATATTATATAAATCCCACTTCCTCAGGCTACACACCATGGATGTTGCAACATATGATGAGGAGTTACACCTTCGACGTGCTGGAGGTCATGAGAGAGATGCATCAACAGGTCGTGCCTCTCCTACACCAGGTCAGTAAGTCCTTGTGGATGCTCCCTCGCCTCCTCTTCTTTACCAATACTTGCTAATGTCTTTTCCTTCAATTCACTTTTACTCGATCTTGAATTAATCAATTCACAATGTCACCTTTTCATACATTCATATTTTCTCAATATTTTAATTTTTTTCTTTTGATTTTCTCTCGTCTTAAACATTAAATTATAACAGGTTGAAACACAACTGGTACTGTACTATACATCTCTCCTTTCTTCAGTTAACCAGTTGGGTGTTTATGAATTTCATCTAAATAACTATAAACTTGTTTGTGTTTTACAGCAAATCATTCAGGATACGGTTGTATAACTACAACTGCCTCACATTGGATTAGTCACACACTGTCTTTTAGGGAGTTTCGACTTAGGAATTACTGGAAGGCCAACTCAGTGTATTGGTACCCCGCCACGGTAACCACAGACACAAAGTTCAGTGAAAATTATTTTGATTTCAGATCGCTCAGAGGACGCGGGTGCTGGTGGTGTCTCAGGGTCGCTGCAGGGAGCACAGTAATACTGGAAAAATCTATAACAAGAGATCAATGTTCGGTGATGCGACCTTCGACTGGAGCGAGATGTTGTTCCAGTATTATCTCCGTCAGTATGAAGACCACCACCTTTCTCCCGCCCCGCCCCACGTCTCCTACACCTCTCCAACACCCATCACTGGGTCTCTCCAGCAACTCCCCTCCGTCCCCCAGGGTCCAGCACCCAACACTGTGAGACCACAAACTACCAGGAGCATCAGAGACCATCTAGACCCCAGAGAGACAGGTGGTGGAGTGTGGTGGTGGGACACTGGTCTGCCGCTCAACCTGGCGGGGATCAGTGAGTGTGAGGAACTGTACCGTCAAGGGCTGGTGGACAACTCCGTGTACACCAGTGAACACCTCAGGTGCAGAGACGACCATCACGTAGGAGAGGACGTGCTGGCTGACCAAATAACCATGTTGTTTAACCTTATGTGTAATTCTATCATGCAGCCACACACGAGTGTTTGTTGTCACTGAAGAGGTAGTTAGATCTTGGTCATAGCCTCACGCTGCAGTGACTGCCGCCGCTAATGACTCACATTGACGCAGATAATGAGTAACAAATGTTATCACTATTCTTTGTGTATGAACCTCTGTCCTGCGTGACAGTGAGAAGTGATATCACCCTCAGTGTCAAGACCTGACTGAATTACACAGAATAGCCAACTGTACTACAAACTTGCCAATAAATTTGTTAAACTAAAAAATTAAAAAGAAAAATGATAGAAATGTTTTGTAAGAACGTAGGAGGAAGTTAATAAACTTTGGGAGAAACAAATTTTTATCATAACTATCATCATTATTATTATTATTCAGTGGTGTCAGGTACCCTTTACTCACCTTTAAGCAACACTCGACATAAAAATAAATGATTCAATTCAAATTATGACGCTTATATACAATAATAACTAAGGTATGTTAATATTAGGATATCGGAACGCTTTTTGTTAACAGTACGATATGAGTACGTGATAGTCTATTAACACCAGAATTTTGGAACACTATTTACTGCCAAATGAAACCGTCAACATTACAATATATCAGGACTTACAAACAGATTTTTGTCTTGAAGAATAACAGAGAAGCGTCCTTATTCGTGTGTGTGTGTGTGTGTGTGTATGTGTGTGTGTGTGTGTGGTGGGCTGGACACAAGGGTCATTACGGGTCGGTACAAGTGATGTTGGGTGTTTAGGAAACTCTCACCTCACACAGATATTTTTAGTTTATACTGCAATTTAGTGTGTAGGTGTACCGTGTAGGTGTACCGTGTAAATGTACCGTGAAGGTGTAGCGTGCAGGTGTAGCGTGTAGGTGTACCGCGTAGGTGTACAGCGTAGTGTACCGTGTAGGTGTACCGTGTAGGTGTACAGTGCAGGTTTAGCGTGTAGGTGTAAGGTGCAGGTGTTCCGTGTAGGTATAAGGGAGAACCTGGCCAATATACAGTATTACATTTGACTGTATAAACTAACTTAAACGTTACTAAGTATTCTTATATAAATATTTAGTTTTTCATGTCAGAAATCTCGACATTAGACAAATATACAAATCGAGACAAACAAAAGCTACAGAAACTCAATGTAAATTACCGGCATTAAAGTGACCATTTTGGATTTTGACGGCCATATTGGATTTGAAGGAAAATTCAGGAAATTCTAAGGTGATAAACTTTGGTGTTTCCGAGGCTGAGACGTGGCTGTGAGGCGCCAACATGCGGCACTTGTCTCGCTGTGTGGTGATGGTTGCCGCTGCTGCATGATACCTCCGTCCGGCTCAGCATACAACATAGTCACACACTCATGCATTATCTCTCGTGTAATAATTCACTGATGATGTCTGAGTCACTCTTGTTATTATGGAAGAACAACTTCATCTACATTCAGCCACAAGATAAGTATAAGTCAGGCCCAGGTGAACGAACACTGGAAGAGGAAAAGTTGGTGTTTATATTGAAGGTGTGAGGAAAAGGTTCGTGTTCACCTCACTGTGTGTCGCTGTTAACCCTTTGAATGGCAGTGGTTACTCTCAGCTGAATAAAATCTTCTGGCGTAAACCAGAATACAGTATAATACCTAAGTGCGACACTGCCCTTTAAACGGTTAACCCCTGCTCGAGGAAGATGGTCCTTGTGCTACGAACAAATCTTATACAAAAGTGTTGTCATAAAACAAGTGTTATAGCGTCAGTAATAATTTTCGTTTTGTTGGTGAGCGTTTACCAAGAGGATAATGTTAAGGAGAGTGACAAAGATAGTGATACGTATAGTGAGGAGGCTGGTGAGCAGAGGAGAGGAGCACTTGTTTACCGTGGAGGATCAGGAAAGACAGGTGTGTCAGTAAATAGGTGTCGCTCCCTCTTCACCATCACTGGGGTGCCAGATGACAACACGCTTGTCGCTGCTCACCTGCTACAATATCCTGCAGACAACAACAACTTGACGAGCAACAGGTGGACGCCGCTACACCCCCGGGGGGACCAACACCTGTCAGCGGCTGTCAAAGGGGTGAGACACCTGCTGCAGAAGAGGTCGTCGTCGTCGGGAGCTTCCACCGAGGACTACCGCAGTCTGGCGGCGCTGCTTCCTACACTCTTAACCTTCCAACACCACACTAACAAGAGTCAAGAGGATGACCACAGGAAGGAAGGTCAAACACCCATCCTCCGCCACACCAGTAGGATTGATGCCAACGGCGGAGTGCTGCCCTACGTGCCCTGTGCCATAGTGCCCTTTGACCACCCGCCCTCCGTCACCGCCTGCTTCGCCTACAGACTCCTCAACAACAACTCCCTCTGGATCGCGTTCATGGGCGACTCAAAAGTCAGGGAATTATTTTATGAGTTCCTTATGAGAACCGATAGTGAATATTACTACATGATTCACTTCATGGTAAGTAATGAGATTCTAATTTCTCCTTTGAACATTATTTCAAATTCCAGGTAATCCCAAGAATACAACTTGAAACATTTCTCTCTAATGTTCAGGCGTCCCGATTCAATTAAATGAATTTTTGAGGGACACGACTGCAAAACTGTCTCAATATCAATATATTCCATCGGTGTCTCCGAGAGTTGTCAACACGATAATTCGATCAAATAGCTGCTGATCTTATCCCAACTTGCTGTGTTGATATATCATTTGAAGATCTCAAGCGAACTAAAAAAAAAAAAAAAAAAAGTTTTCTGTCTTTTAAGTCCAAAGTTACGACTGCTCTTGAGCTTTATTCTGACAATGCTGGGAACTTGAACACCTTTACTGGCAACTTATCTGAATATTATATCAAGTTCTGAATATTTTTTACGTGTTGTATCAGTGTTCATGGCACTTGTTATAATATACGAACAACTTCATTTCATTGGTAAGTTTCACAAGTAAAATACATAATTAGTCAGACCTATAGTAGCAAACTCTCCAATATAAAATCATGTATTTACTTTGTGTGCCTATTTATACAAAATAAAACTATTGTAATTGAAACTCTAAACAACTGATTTTTCTCCATACAAATGTCTTAAAAGTTGACAGTTACTTCGTGTAGAAAGTGACCCAGAGTTCTGTACTTGCCTATACTAGATGAAAGAGTAAGTGTTATTTGTATGTAATAACGATGTTGAAGTTTATTACTGGCGTTACTGTGAGACTCAGCTGTTCTCCCTTATTTTGTGAATCATAAATAATATTGCCGGACACACACACAATAATAATAAATAATGGTTGCCCCTCGTGTAACGAGGGTGGCCTGCCCAAGGGCCACTTAGGCGTGAATTTGTTTAAGGTGTAGAAGCTGTCGCCAACACAACAACCACACCCCAAGTTAACGAGTTGCATGACCCAGTGTCAAGGAATAGTCCGAGAAGACCGGACAACTCGCCAACTGCAATAGCTAACCATTACCCCGGAACACGATCTGCAAATCTATTAACATCCAGGTTCCCAATTACTGCTGGGTAGACAGAGGCAAATGGCATAAAGAAACTTACTCATAGTTTCATCCTGCCCGAGGATCGAACTCGGGTCCGCTCGCTTGAGAGGCGAGAATGCTGACTATTACACCACACATATCAAATATTTTACAGATTTTTTTTTAATACTAGAGGAGTTTGTTAATCTCTCTCTCTCTCTCTCTCTCTCTTCCAGGACAGGACGGAGTCGTGGGAGGAGGTGAAGAAAAAGTACTTAGAGATCAAGATGAAGGAGGACATGGAAGCCACGACAGAGGCTGCACTCCGCCTGCGCATCACCTTTAGGTCTGTCTCAACTAACCTAACCTTCCCGGGGTATCAAGCGATTGAGTTTGACATTTCAGTAAAATTGTCATACAAGTTTACAGTTACCTTGGCTTGTATATAGACAACGCAGGTATACAGTTCAACATGTTCTTTCACCTACTCTCTTCCTAATTCTATCCATTCTTACGCTGATGATTCTACTCTTCACTCATCTTCACATTTTTCCCTTCCCTCAAATTCTCAAACTAGATCTGTTTCTAGAGCTGATATCATTTCATCTACCAATGCGGATCTGTGCAGCATCTCCGAATGGGGAGGTAGAAACTTGGTTAAATTCATTAGTAATAAAACTCAGTGTTTATCAATTACACTTTCCAAATTAGATGATCTCCCACCATTCACATTTCAGGACGCAATCACTGCCAAATTCTAGAATAGATATGCTAGGTCTCACCATCTCCTCTAATATGTCATGGAAGCTACACATCCACAACATTACTAAAGCTGCTTCCCGAAAGCTGGGAATGCTGTACAGATGCCGTAGCTACTTCACTCCTGAGCAGTTGCTTCACGTATGCAGTATAAGGGATTCATTTGTCCTAACTTGGAGTACTGCTCTCATATCTGGGGTGGCTCTTTTTCTGTCCAATTGTTAGATAGGGTGGAATCAAAGGCATTTCGTCTTATTATCTCTCCTCCTTTAGTTGATAATCTATCTTCCTTTTCTCTTCACCGCATTGTTGCTTCACTCTCTCTTTTGTACAGGTACTATAACGGGCAATATTCGGTGGATATGATATTGTAGTGGACGTCTCCCCTACAACTGCCTACAACTGCGTAGCCGCAGCCACCAGCTGCTACCATCTTCCCTAGCAACCAAACTAGTGCCTTCCACCAGATGCCGCAGTATCCTAGCAACGGAGCCAAAGACCGGTTACTTCTCGGGTTTTCCCAACATGACTCATAGATGACTCACGGCTGCTGGGTATATAAGCTCTGTCTCTCCATTGAGATTCATTCTGGCCAAACTTCTTGAACACGCAACACCTCCTCCTCCGCCGCTGCCTGGCGGCCCTCGCCTGCCTAGCGGTCCTCGCTCCAGCCAGCGAGCATGGCGACCCACCAGCTGTCCTTCTCTGAGCGTCCTCACCAACCAGCTCTTTCATTCTGCTCTCGGTTCCTGAACACGCAACACCTCCTCCAGCAAGCTCCTCGCTGTCCAACTTTCATTCAACCAGGAGGCCAGCAACAGGCAACATCTTCTCTAACGAAGCTCCTGCACATCTACCTCCTTCAACACGCTACTCACCGAACGTCTCTACTGAGCAGCTCCTCACCACACGGCACCTCCAGCACCAGACTGTCTATCATATAACTTATATTATACAAGAAAACCACATTAGAGTTTCCATCCATCCTGAGTGCTAGACAACATTATACCACGAATTCCTACAAATGGTGACTCCCGGAGATTAGCACTCACACAGGATGGAGGAGACACTGATCACGCTCCCAGTCTTCAAGCAGCATGGAAGACTGGCTTATCCACACAGAAGCAGCTCTGTTACTCTAAGCAGACACCAGCTCCTCTTCCTGCCCCAAGCACCACATCCTACCGACCCCAGCACACCCGTCCTGCCTCAGACGCCGACCCAGCAGTAACCCCTGCTGCCCTAGCCTGGCCTCTGTTCCTGAGTGGGACCCACACACACCCTCTTCTCCCTCAGGTACTCCTGCTAATGTCCTGCACCCTGCTGCCGTGGACCCAGCTGCTGTCACGAGCCCTAATCCGCTTCTGTTGGCAGGCCCTGCTCCTGACAGGCCCACACACCCCAGCAGGCGCATCTGACGACTCTGTACCTGTCGTGGGGAAGCAACATTCATCCTCTCCACACCCTTTTCCTACCTCTCTCTTCCCACAGATAGTGTGTATATTGACAGTTGTATTCAGGACAGCTAATCACGCCATCGCCGTTGTCTCACATTGGGCATGCACCGCCCGGTCTGCCTCACATGTGCTAAGCAACTCTGCAGACAACAAGTCTCCTACACGCCTGGAAGGAGTATAGTGGACGTCTCCCCTACAACTGCCTACAACTGCGTAGCCACAGCCACCAGCTGCTACCATCTTCTAACCAGCCAAACTAGTGCCTTCCACCAGATGCCTCAGTATCCTAGCAGAGCCAAAGACCAGTTACTTCTGGGTTTTAACATGACTCATAGATGACTCACGGCTGCTGGGTGTATAAGCTCTGTCTCTCCATTGAGATTCATTCTGGCCAAACTTCCTGAACACACAACACCTCCTCCTCCGCCGCTGCCTGGCGGCCTCGCCTGCCTGGCGGTCCTCGCTCCTTCGCCAGAGCATGGCGACCACCAGCTTCCTTTTCTCTAGGCGTCCTCACCAACCAGCTCTTTCATTCTGCTCTCTGTTCCTGAACACGCAACACCTCCTCCAGCAAGCTCCTCGCTGTCAACTTTCATTCAACCGGGAGACCAGCAACAGGCAACATCTTCTCTAACGAAGCTCCTGCACATCTACCTCCTTCAACACGCTACTCACCGAACGTCTCTACTGAGCAGCTCCCTCCACACGGCACCTCCAGCACCAGACTGTCTATCATATAACTTATATTATACAAGAAAACCACCTTAGAGTTTCCATCCATCCTGAGTGCTAGACAACATTAATATCCACGAAATCCTACAATATCCTGTGTACCGCCGGCAAGGCCGTGGGCTCGTAACATTCGCTTTGCTTGCGGTGCCCACCGTTTCTGTGTGACTGTCGGTCACACTAGATACTAGAATAACCCACTATAGCACACCCTTCTTTCCTCACACAGCCAAACTGTGGGATGCTCTGCCTTCTTCTATGTTTTCATACTCATACACTCTGTCACTTCAAGAAGCTGGTTTTCCGGCATTTTCGTAGTGTAGATTAATAGTCTTTCTCTTCTTTTAATTTATTTGTACTCTTATTATTTTTCCCCCTAGGCCCCATTGTGGGTCGATGACCTGTGCCTGGGTGGGCTATTCCCCGTAAAAAAAAAAAAAAATCTTTCTGACTATTCTCTTATCCCAATGGGTCCCAACCAACTCTTAATGGCGCTAATTACAATGGTTCGGTGAGAATAAGTTAGTGTTTCAGTTGCTGTATTTTGTATCGAATAGAAATAATGGGTAAAAGTGGAATGGTGTGTGGAAGAGAACCTTAATGTGTGTGGATTAACTGTGTGGAATAGAACTTCATTGCCCTGCATAGTTTTTGAGGTTTGTGTATTATTAAGCTTTTCTGGGTGTATTTTGCATGCTGATCTCAAAAATGTTATCCATTTTGCTCAATCAGGTCAGAATTTTGTGCTATAGCATTTTAAGCGGGAATTCAGGTAAAATATTGGCATTTTTCGCTCAAAATGGGGTTCTCATATTCGTTCTTTAAAAATCATCGAGACATTGGCAAGCCTCACAGAAAAGATTTCAGTCAGTTTTAATGCCCTTGATGCATTTAAATACACCCAAGTGCTCGCCGGCCATTTAAATGTCCGCCGTGACGCAAAGGAAAAGTATATGCCCGTGTTTTTCATATTTTTCACAATTATTTCTTTTTCATCTGGTGGTACATGGCATGTTTCCTCTGTCTGTGGATAGTCGAGCAGACAGCCTTTTAGTGGACTTACTCAGGTTCTCACAATGTTGTGCGCTCTGGTGAATGAGAACATTTTGCTTCCCTGCATCAAGCTCGGTCTGTTCAAACTTAAGGCACTGGACAAAAAAGCCAGGCTTTCAATTTTCTGAAAGAAAAATTTCCAAAGTCAGTGAGGCAAAGCTGAATGCAGGTGATTATGCCTCAGATCATAAAACTTTTCCAAGTCTGATTGCTGCAGCATGGATGTAAATGAGAAGAAAGCCTGGCATGTAAGTCTATTGTCTCCAATTTTCTTGGCAACTACAGAAGTCCAGAGTATGAACGGTTGTTGAGGACCTACTTCTGACTACAAAGTTCTTGGTGCACTCATGTCCATCAAGATGCCTTCCTCAGCTCCCACTAGGACTACTTCAGAGAACTGTGGTGATGTGAGTGAGGAACAAAACCTTCCATCAAGATATCCGTGGAATGGAGAGCGGTACCAGGGTCGCTGGGATATCAACATGCTCGCCGACTACTGTTGGTGTCTGAAATACGCCCCAGACACCAACCACGAAATTATCTGCCATTTATGCATGTCTAACTGTAAAGGCATCTATGTAGATTTGACATATTTGGTCCTATGTGTTGTGGTTACATTTCTTATGATATATTTTGCATAAAATTTGACATCATATTTAAGAATTTCGATTTTTTCCTAATTCCCATAGCATAAAAATCTGACCTGATTGGGCAAAATGAATGGCATTTTTGGAATCAGCACGCAAAATACATAAAGAATCAGCTAAGAAACCCCGCACCTCATGAATTTTTTTTCAAATGCAGCCCAGTGTAATGGGTGTGGATTAACTGTGTGGAATAGCACTATAATGGGTGTGGATTAACTGTGTGTGTAATAGAACCACAATATGTGTGGATTAACTGTGTGGGGTATAGCTGGTGGTTTAGGAGAAAATTGTTCAGGCCAACCGTTGTTCAGGGACGATTATTGACAGATTAGATGTAATATTTTCTTCCTCTCTCTCTCTCTCTCTCTCTCTCTCTCTCTCTCTCTCTCTCTCTCTCTCTCTCTCTCTCTCTCCACATAACAGTATCAATAAATACCAACGTCTCTTTCCAGTTTCAAGTCCTTCAGTGCGTTGCCCAAAGATTATAACACCAGCATTGCACTACGACAGCTGGCAAGGTGGGCATCAAGGACGGAGCAACCACCAGACCTCCTCGTCGTGGGTGAGTTGTGGGTTGTGGTGTGGGTTATAGTGTGGGTTGTGGGTCGAGGTGTGGGTTATTGTGTGGGTTGTGGGTCGTGGTGTGGGTTGTGGGTTATAGTGTGGGTTGTGGGTCGTGGTGTGGGTTGTGGGTCGTGGTGTGGGTTATAGTGTCGGCTGTGGGTGTGGTATGGGTTGTGGGTCGTGGTGTGGGTTGTGGGTCGTGGTATGGGTTGTAGGTAGTGGTGTGGGTTGTGGGTCGTGGAGTGGGTTGTGGGTTATAGTATGGATTGCTGGTTATAGTATGGGTTGTGGTTTATAGTGTGGGTTGTGGATCGTGTGTGGGGGAGTTGTAGGTTGTAGTGGGTGAGTTGTGGGTCGTGTGTGGTGTTAGTTGTTGGTCGTGTGGTGTGAGTTGTGGGTCATGTGGTGTGAGTTGTAGGTCGTGTGTGGTGTGAGTTGTAGGTGTGTGTTGTAGTGTGTAGGTCGTATGTGGTGGAGGTGGTGTGAGGTCGTATGTGGTGTGAGTTATAGGTCGTGTGGTGTGGGGTGTAGGTCGTATGTGGTGTGAGTTATAGGTCGTGTGTGGTATGAGTTGTAGGTCGTGTGTGGTGTGAGTTGTGGGTCGTATGTAGTGTGAGGTGTAGGTCGTATGTGGTGTGAGTTGTAGGTCGTGTGGTGTGAGTTGTAGGTCGTGTGTGGTGTGAGTTGTGGGTCGTGTGTGGTGTGAGTTGTAGGTCGTGTGTGATGTGAGTTGTAGGTCGAATGTGGAGTGAGTTGTAGGTCGTGTGTGGTGTGAGATGTAGGTCGTGTGGTGTGAGATGTAGGTCGTGTGTGGTGTGAGTTGTAGGTCGTGTGTGGTGTGGGTTGTGGGTCGTGTGTGGCGTGAGTTGTAGGTCGTGTGTGGTGTGAGATGTAGGTCGTGCGTGTTGTGAGTTATAGATCGTGAGTGGTGTGAGTTGTGGGTCGTGTGTGGTGTGAGTTGTGGGTCGGGTGTGAGTTGTGGGTCGTGCGTGGTGTGAGTTGTAGGTTGTGTGTGATGTGGTTTTAGGTCGTGTGTGGTGTGAGTTGTAGGTTGTGTGTGGTGTGGGTCGTGGGTCGTGTGTAGTGTGAGTTGTAGGTCGTGTTGGTGTGGATTGTGGGTCGTGTGTGGTGTGAGTTGTAGGTCGTTTGTTGGGTGTGAGGTTGGTCTGTGGTGTGAGTTGTAGGTCGCGTGTGGTGTGAGTTGTGGGTTGTGTGTGGTGTGAGTTGTGGGTCGTGTGTGTGGTGTGAGTTGTAGGTTGTGTGTGGTGTGAGTTGTAGGTCGAGTGTGGTGTAAGTTGTTGGTCGTGTGTGGTGTGAGTTGTGGGTCGTGTGGTGTGAGTTGTGGGTCGTGTGGTGTGAGTTGTGATTCGTGTGTGGTGTGAGTTGTAGGTCGTGGTGTGAGTTGTGGGTCGTGTGGTGTGAGTTGTGGTCGTGTGAGTTGTCGTGTGTAGTGTGAGTTGTGGGTCGTGTAGTGAGTTGTAGGTCGTGTGTAGTGTGAGTTGTGGGTCGTGTGGTGTGAGTTGTAGGTTGTGTGTGGTGTGTGGTTGTGGGTCGTGTGTGGTGTGAGTTGGCCGTTGTGTGTGGTGTGGGTTGTGGGGTGTGTAGTGTGAGTTGTCGTGTGTTGGTGTGAGTTCTAGGTCGTGTAGTGTGAGTTGTGAGTCGTGAGTTAGATCGTGTGGTGACTTGTGGGTCGTGTAGTGTGAGGTGTGGGTCGTGTGTGTGTGAGTTGTAGGTCGTGTGTGGTGTGAGTTGTAGGTCGTGTGGTGTGAGTTGTAGGTCGTGTGGTGTGGATTGTAGGTCGTGTGTGGTGAGTAGGTCGTGTGGTGTGAGTTGTGGTCGTGTGTGTGGTGTTAGTTGTAGGTCGTGTGTGGTGAGTTGTTGGTCGTGTTTTGTGAGTTGTAGATCGTGTAGTGTGAGTTGTAGGTCGTATGTGGTGTGAGTTGTAGGTCATGTGGTGTGAGTTGTGGTCGTGTGGTGTGAGTTGTTGGTTGTGTGTTTTGTGAGTTGTAGATCGTGTGTAGTGAGTTGTTGGTCGTGTGGTGTGAGTTGTAGGTCGTGTGTTGTGTGAGTTGTGGGTCGTGTAGTGTGTGGAGTTGTGGGTCGTGGTGAGTTGTAGGTCGTATGGTGTGAGTTAGGTATCGTGGTGAGTTGTGGTCGTGTTGTAAGTTGTAGGTTTTGTGGTGTGAGTCTTAGGTCGTGTGTGTGAGTTGTGGGTCGTGTGGTGTGAGTTGTAGGTTGTGTGTAGTGTGAGTTGTGGGTCGGGTGTGAGTTGTGGGTCGTGTGGTGAGTTGTGGGTCGTGTTGTGTGAGTTGTAGGTCGTGTGGTGTGAGTTGTGGTCGTGTGTTGTGTGAGATGTAGGTCGTGGTGAGTTGTGGTGGTGTGTGGTGACAGGTCGTGTGGGTGAGTTGTAGGTCGTGTGTGGTGAGATGGTATCGTGTGTTGTGAGTTGTAGGATCGTGAGTGGTGTGAGTTGTGGGTCGTGTGTGGTGTGAGTTGTGGGTCGGTGTGAGTTGTGGTGTGTGTGGTGTGAGTTGTGGGTCGGGTGTGAGTTGTGGGTCGTGTGTGGTGTGAGTTGTAGGTTGTGTGTGATGTGAGTTTTAGGTCGTGTGGTGTGAGTTGTAGGTTGTGTGTGGTGTGGGTTGTGGGTCGTGTAGTGTGAGTTGTAGGTCGTGTGGTGTGGATTGTAGGTCGTGTGGTGTGGAGTTGTAGGTCGTTTGTGGTGTGAGTTGTAGGTCGTGGGGAGTTGTAGGTCGCGTGTGGTGTGAGTTGTGGGTTGTGTGTGGTGTGAGTTGTAGGTCGTGGTGAGTTGTGGGTTGTGTGGTGTGAGTTGTAGTGAGTGTGGTGTAAGTTGTTGGTCGTGTGGTGTGAGTTGTGGGTCGTGTAGTGTGAGTTGTGGGTCGTGTGGTGTGAGTTGTTGGTCGTGTGGTGTGCGGTAGGTCGTGTGTAGTGCGAGTTGTGGGTCCGTCTGGTGAGTTGTGGGTCGTGTGTGGTGTGAGTTGTAGGTCGTGTGGTGTGAGTTGTGGTCGTGTGGTGTGAGGTTATGGGTCGTGTGGTGTGGGTTGTGGGTCGTGTGTGAGTGTGGGTTGTGGGTCGTGTGTAGTGTGAGTTGTGGGTCGTGTGTGGTGGTTGTGGGTTGTGTGTGGTGTGGGTTGTGGGTCGTGTGTGGTGTGGGTTGTACGTTGTGTGTGGTGTGGGTTGTGGGTCGTGTGTGGTGTGAGTTGTAGTGGTGTGTTGGTGTGAGTTCTGGGTCGTGGTAGTGTGGTTGTGAGTCGTGTGTGGTGTGAGTTGTAGATCGTGTGGTGTGGTTGTGGGTCGTGTGTGGTGTGAGGTGTGGGTCGTGTGTGGTGGTTGTAGGTCGTGTGGTGTGAGTTGTAGGTCGTGTGTGGTGTGGGTTGTGGGTCGTGTGTGGTGTGGTTGTGGGTCGTGTGTGGTGTGAGTTATAGGTCGTGTGTGGTGTGAGTTGTGGGTCTTGTGGTGTTAGTTGTAGGTTGTGTTTAGTGTGAGTTGTGGGTCGTGTGTTGGTGTGGTTCTAGGTCGTGTGTGGTGTGGTTGTGAGTCGTGTGTGGTGTGAGTTGTAGATCTGTGTGGTGTTTGTAGGTCGTGTGTAGTGTGAGGTGTGGGTCGTGTGTGTGAGTTGTGGGTCGTGTGTTGTGTGGTTGGGTCGTGTGTGGTGTGAGTTGTGGGTCGTGTGTGGTGTGAGTTGTAGGTCGTATGTGGT